ATACTGCATTAAATGATCATTTAATGCACTGGGTATAAATAGAAGTGTTTCTTCTCCATGCAGAGAGCGCGCATCTCTCTCTAACCTTATTCTTACTTCAAGCATCTTCTAGCTTAAGTAAATGATCCTCTTTTTAACAATCTCTTTTCTTGTATTTGTTAAAGCTCTGTGTGTAACCAAAGATTGTTTAGATAGGTTTTTTTTATCTTATCTATATGTGTGTTTTAATTAACAGTGACTTACGTTTTTCGTCACTATGGTTTGTTCAAAATTGCAGATTTCATCTTTGTTGTTTTGGAAATTACGTTTTTCATCTCTATGGTTTGCAATTCATTTTTATTTTCGTTCTTGAACCTAACCACTATTTTTAAGTATGAGAGACAAAATAAAAATGATTTATAAACCATAGAGACGAAAAATAATAATAAAGTTTAAATCATAAGAATGAAACAATGAGTAGAAAATTTCAACAACCCACAGGGACCAAAAAAACGTAATTTAGTCTTTTAAGTAAATACGTTATTGAGTTAAAACTATTAGCAAATAATCACAAACTTTATAAGTTGATTGCATAAACTTAAATTTATTAAAACTAAGAACTAATTTTTTTTATTAACCTAGATATCCAAACCACTATGCGAGCCGACTAATCCCAGAGCAACCACCTGCTTTACAGATAGCCCGGAGTCACCACATTTGAACCTCCATGGCCACAAGGGAATTTTTATTCCTCCTTGTGATTTGAACTTGGAACATCCTGGTACTTTTGACATTTGAAGTCAAGCTCAAATCAATCAGGCACCACCCTTGTTAAATTTGAATCTAATTTGTATAGTAATCTATGGATTTGGTCCCTGTGGTTCACAATTTGTACTTACAGTGGTCCCAAAATCAAAATAGAAACATATCTTGTATTTCTAGTTGACATTTTTGCACCTATTGAGTCTCTCCCTTTAAGAAAATCAAAAATATCCCGTTAACCCAGTTAAGTCTAGAGGTATTTTAGTCTTTTTATTATTAATTTTGTTTTTATCCCATTTTGTCTTTTCTATATAGATATACACATCTACACAGTCGACCTCTCGAATCTTCAAACCCTCGTTGGCCTCTCAGATTTACCTCTAGCTCAACCTCTTCAATTACCATCTTCTGCACGAACACCATCTCCGGCATCGGTCGCCGACAATGAAAAATGTAGATCTCTCCTCTCTCTCTCTCTCTGCGACACCTTCCCCCCCGGCCTTCACCACCCCTGATCTGCTTCCCTACATCAAGTTCTCAGCCTCTCGCCTGCGGACTGCTCCACCGTTGTTGCCGCTTCTGCCTCAAGCTCTCAATCTCTGAATCTTTAAGGGTAGTCTATTTTTACATCCTTGTGGTTTTGCCCCATTTTTTATTGGGAAAGAAAACAAAATAAATAAAATGATCAAGTACCCCTTTAAGTTAGCTGGGTTAATATATTTTGTCAGAGGGAGGGATTCAGAAAGTGCGAAAATGCAAACCAGGAGTCCCAATGCCTGCAAAAATGTCAACCAGGAGTGCCATACTTGTATTTATTTTGAGTTTTAGGACCACTCTGGGTAGAACGTGTAAACCATAGAGACCAAATCCGTAATTTACTCTAATTTAAAATATAATGTATGTAACAAGCAAAAATTAAAATATCATTATACAATAAAATAAAGTAAAAAATACATAAATTTATTTAACACAAAACATAATATAAATGAAGAGTGTTATATTAAATTTAGTTTATTACACTATTTCTATGTACAAATATAATGAAAAATGCAAATTTAATATGTTTATGAAAGTTGGTTTTAAATCATAAATTACATAAACAAAGAAATTATATTATAATATATGTTTTAAATGCAACTCATCATATTTGTACAACCAATGCAACATAATCAATTGAAATATTTATGGAAATGATGAGAGTTCATTTATTATGATTTGAATATTTATTAAAGATGACTAAGGTTCATTAATCATTATTAATACTTTATATTAAGAACCAATCAAAACTTTTATGAAATCACATATTCATCAAATTAAATGGACGGTTGAGATTGAGTTGTATTGGTTGTACAAATATACTAGAAGAGTACTCGCGCAATGCAGCGAGACACATCTCGATTTTAATGTTCAATTTTATTATTTGTCTCTGTCGATATTATAATACGATTTTATGTGTTTTTAAGAAAACAATAATGATTTTATTTTTGAATAAAATATAAATTTGAAGATAT